TTCTATTTGTGTTCTATATTGTGCCTAGATATTTTGGTTATGCTATGCAGGAGCAATAGGGTGAAATGCATCTACTCTATCTGTACCAAACTAAAAGTCCTACTTTCATGAAAAGAAACAAAAATAATACAGTAGGTGGACTATAAGATCTTTAAAGTTTCTCTCTTTTGATTTCTCTAAGCTATTGTTTTAAAATGATAAAGGTGATGGCGACTCTATAAATAGAAGAGTTAAAGAGGGATAACTTGTCTTTTTTTCCCTAGCAGTGACTGTGTAGGGAGGCTACCTTGGCTTTTTGAGGCAGCAGGTATGTTGCTTTGAGTAAATCAGTGTTAGCTTTTGCCTTGAGCTGGTAGACTTAGGATATGAAATGGGGCCTGCAGAGTTCCTGACCAGACTGATGTTTTACATCTCTTTTGAGGGCTATACAATTAACAGAGCAGCAGTAGCTTCCTCCTTATTAATGGGAGTGCATGATCTCTCTGGTACTGGTATTTAACATCTCACATGCTTACGCTATATTTTCTTAAGTTGGCTAAAGCTCTATGAGAGCAAGAATTAGCTCCTCTACTTCCTGTGATCCCTACAGGTGCTTAGTAAAAGGTCTTACACACTGTAGAAGCTCATAAATATCTGAAAGGACTACTTTTTCTGCTGTGAGTCGGGGTGACTTGAGTTGCTTCTAATGTGCAGCCAACTACTTTTAGACCTTGAAGACTAGGCTACAGATTATGAGAGACAGCATCTTCCAGGGCAGTCCTGTCTGTAAAATTTTTTAAAATTGAAATATAGTTTGTGCACAATGTTGTATTAGTTTCAGGTGTATAGCAAAGTGATTCAGTTATATGTATATACATACACACTCACTTTTAGATTATTTTCCATGATAGGTTATTACAAGATATTGAATCTAGTTCCCTCTGCTATACAGTAGGTCCTTGTTGGGTGTCTACTCCATATATAGTAGTGTATATATATTTTAATATCAAATTCCTGATTTATCTCTCTCTTTCCTCTTTGGTAACCATAAGTTTGTTTTCTATGTCTGTGAGTCTATTTCTGTTTTGTAAATAAGTTCATTTGTATCATTTTTAAAGATTCCATATGTAGGTGATACCATCTGATATTTGTCTTTCTCTGCCTGGCTTATTTCACTTAGTATGATAATCTCTAGGTCCATCCATGTTTCTATAAATGGCATTATTCATTCTTTTTTATGGCTGAATAACATTCTGTCGAGTATATATACCACATCTTCCTTATCTATTCACCTGGCAAGGGACACTTAGCTTTTCTCCCGGGCCTGGAAGCAGAGTGAGCGGGATGCGGGGAAAGAGGGCTATTGTCCGAGTCTTAGCTATTGTAAATAGTGCTGCTATGAACATTGGGATGTGTGTATCTTTTCAAATTATAGTTTTTGCTGGATATATGCCCAGGAATGGGATCATTGGATCGTGCAGTAATTCCATGTTTACTTTTTTAAGGAACCTCCACACTATTCTCCATAGTGGCTGTACTAATTTACATTCCCACCAACACTGTAAAAAATTCCTTTTTCTTCACTGACCCCAGCATTTATTATTTGTAGAATTTTTGATGATGGCCATTCTGATTGGTGTGAGGTGAAACCTCCTGGTAGTTTTGATTCGTATTCTTTAATAATTAGTGATGTTGAGCACCTTTTCATGTGCCTGTTGACCATCAGTATGTCTACTTGGGAGAAATGTCTGATTAGATCTTCTGCCCAGTTTTTTGATTGGGCTGTTTTTTTTTTCTTTCTGATATTGACCTGTATGAGCTGTTTGTATATTTTGGAAATTAATCCCTTGTTGGTCGCATAGTTTGCAAATACTTCCTCACAGTCTGTAGGTTATTATTTGTTTGTTTGTTTGTTTATGGTTTCCTTTGCTGTGCAAAAGCTTTTAAGTTCAGTTAGGTCCCATTTTTGTTTACATTTGTTTTTATTTCCATTACTCTAGGAGATGGTTAAAACTCAACATTAAAAAAACTAAGATCATGGCATCCAGTCCCATCACTTTCTGGCAAATAGACGGAAAAACAATGGAAACAGTGACAGACTATTTTCTTGGGCTCCAAAAATCACTGCAGATGGTGACTGCAGCCATAAAATTAAAAGATGCTTGCTCCTTGGGAGAAAAGTTATGACCAACCTAGACAGCATATTAAAAAGCAAAGACATTACTTTGTTGACAAAGGTTTGTTTAGTCAAAGCTAAGCTTTTTCCAGTAGTCATATATGAATGTGAGAATTGGACCATAAAGAAAGCTGAGCGCCAAAGAATTGATACGTTTGAACTGTGGTGTTGGAGAGTCTCTTGGACTGCAAGGCAATTCACCAGTCAATCCTAAAGTAAATCAGTCCTGAATATTCATTGGAAGGACTGATGCTGAAGCTGAAACTCCAATATTTTGGCCACCTGATGCAAAGAACTGACTCACTGGAAAAGACCCTGATGCTGGGAAAAACTGAAGGCAGGATGAGAAGGAGATGACAGAGGATGAGATGGTTGGATGGCATCACTGATTTGATGGACATGAGTTTCAGCAAGCTCTGGGAGTTGGTGGTGGAAGGGAAGCCTGGAGTGCTGCACTCCATGGGGGTCACAAAAGTCGGACACAACTGAGCAACTGAACTGAACTGAGGAGATGGTTCCAAAAAAAGATTATTGAGATTTATGTCAAAGAGGGTTCTGCCTATATTTTCCTAAGAGTTTTAGAGTACCCAGTCTTACATTTAGATCTTTAATTAATTTTGAGTTTATTTTTGTATATGATGTTAGAGAATGTTCTAGTTTCATTATTTCACATGTAGCTGTCCAGTTTTCCCAGCACCACACTTGTTGAAGAGACTGTCTCTTCTCCACTGTATATTCTTCCCTCCATTGTTGTAGATTGTGTGCATGCTCAATGCAAATGGAATTATTTTATTCTTTTCTATAGCTGAGTAATATTCCATCACACACATATATATGTGATATATATATATATGATATATATATGAGATATATATATGTGAGATAAAACATCTTCTTTATCCATTGTTCTGTCAATGGACACTTAGGTTGCTTCCAAATCTTAGCTATTGTAAATAGTGCTGACTCTTTGCAACCCTTTGGACTGTGGCCTGCCAGCCTCCCCTGTCCATGAGATTTTTCAGGTTAAATTTTATCAAAAGCCTTTTTCTGTATCTATTGAAATGATCATATGGCTTTTATTCTTCAACTTGTTAATGTGGTGTATCACATTGTTTGACTTATAGATATTGAAAAATTCTTGCATTCCTGAGATAAATCTCACTTGATTGTGGCATATGATCCTTTTAATATATTGCTGGAGTTGGTTTGCTAGTATTTTGTTGAGGAATTTTGCATCTATGTTCATTAGTGATACTGAGCTATAATTTTTTTTTGGTGATATCTTGGTTTGGTTTTGATATTAGGGTGATGGTGGCCTCAGAGAATGGGTTCAGAAGTATTCTTTCCTCTGCAGTTTTTTGGAATAGTTGGGCTTCTCTTATGGCTCAGCTGGTAAAGAATCTGCCTGCAATGTGGGAGACCTGGGTTCGACCCCTGGGTTGGAAAGATCCCCTGGAGAAGGGAATGGCTACCCACTCCAGTATTCTGGCCTGGAGAATTCTATGGACTGTGTAGACCATGGGGTCACAAAGAGGGGGATACGACTGAGCAACTTTCACTTTTCAGAGGTATAGGTGTTAACTCTTCTCTGAATGTTTTGTAGAATTCACCTGTGAAGATATCTGGTCCTGGACTTCTGTTTGTTGGGAGTTTTAAAATTACTAATTCAATTTCAGTACTGGTAATCGGTCTGTTGATATTTTCTATTTCTTCTTGGTTCAGTCTTCAGAGATTATATCTTTCTAAGAATTTTTCCAGTTTCCTTGAGGTTGTCCATTTTATTGGCATATCATTACCCATAGTAGTCTCTTATGATCTCCCCCCCCCCCCACCAAATTTTCCTTACTTAAAATTAAAGAAAAAAGTATTTATTTGGCTGCATTCAGTCTTCAACTGTGGTGCATGTGGCATGAGGGATCTACCAGGGATGGGACCTGAGTCCCTTGCATTGCAAGGCAGAGTCATAATCACTGGACCACTAGGGAAGTCCCTCCTGCGATGTCTTGTATTTCTGTGGTATCAGTTGTAACTTCTCCTTTTTCATTTCTGATTTTATTGATTTGGGCTCTCTCTCTCTCTCTTTTTTTTTCTCTGTGAGTTTGGTTAAAGGTTTATGAATTTTGTTCTTTTCAAAGAACCAGCTTTTAGTTTCATTGATCTTTTCTTTTAGTTTTTATTTCATTTATTTCTGCTCTGATCTGTATAATTTCTTTCCTTCTACCATCTTAGGATTTTCGTTGTTCTTTCTCTAGTTGCTTTGGGAATAGGGCAGCCTTGTCTTAAAATAAAAAAATCACTGGGCTCAAGGAAGAGACCCATGATTGCTACCGAACCTACCGGGGACCGTTTACTGAAGTCTCTTCCCAGGATTTTTGTGCTTTGGGATCACTTCATGATTTTACGCCATAAATCATATAATTCATGTCTTTGGTCCTTGGTTGACAGCCGTTCTTCCCTCCCCTGCTGACTGTCACCTAACCACCCACTCTCCCCCAACAGAATATTGTTGCATGAATGTCCCTGTGGATGAATGGATGGAGAAAAGGAGAAGAATGGGATGGAACGAATGAACTTAGAAGCTGCAAAGATGCCTGGAAATGCAGAAACTCTCATGAATTGCAAATTTATTGACTGAGAAGGTACTAGGATTGGGAGGCAGTTGTATAGAAACCAGGGAGGGAAAACTGCAGAACAAGACACAGCTCCAGCGTTCAGTGGCTTCTTCTGGTGGATTCAGATGTGAAGGGCGGAGAAACCTCAGGGCAATATCATGAGAGCGGTAAGCCCATCGACGCCCACGGAGAACACCTCCAGCTTCTTCGTCTCCGTGGTGTCCAGGGGGGCCTTACTTGCCTGGCCAGGTAGGCGCCTGCTTCTGCTGGGTCTGGTGGCAGACTGGGACGCCCTTGCCACCCCCGGAACCACCCCCGGAGGAGCCGCCGCCGCCGCATCCGGAACCGCTGCCGCCCCCACCGCTAGAGAAGCAGCCGCCGCCGCCCACGGAGGAGCCTCCCACGCAGCCGGATCCACTGCCGCCCCCACCGCTGGAAACGCAGCCGCCGCCCCCGGAGGAACCGCCGCCGCAACCGGCGCCGGATGAGCCCCCTCCGTAGCTCTGCTGGGGCAAGCACGGGGTCTGGGAGGTCTGAGAGGACGAGAAGTATCCGGAGCCGCCCCCGGAGGAGATGCCGCCGCAGCCGGAGCCGCCCCCGGAGATGATGCCGCAGCCGGAGCCGTCCCCGGAGATGATGCCGCCGCAGCCGGAGTCGCCCCCACTAGAGACGCCCCCGTAGCTCTGGCACTGGACCTGCTGGCCGGAGGAGCCGCCGCCGCCGCCGCTGGAGTAGCAGCCGCCCCCGGAGGAGCCGCCGCCGCTGGAGTAGCAGCCGCTCCCGGTGCCGCCGCCGCCGCCGCCGCTGGAGTAGCAGACGGTACTGGAGGAGCCGCCGCCGGAGGAGTAGCCTCCGCAGCCGGAGCTGCCGCCGCCCCCGGAATACTTGACACTTCCACCAGAGCCACCGCCGCCGCCGCCAGAGTAGCCGCCGCCGCAGCCGGAGCTGCCGCCGCCTCCAGAATACTTGACACTTCCACCCGAGCCGCCGCCGCCGCCCCCGGAGCCGCCGCAGCTACCGGAGCCACCGCCGCCGCCGCTGTAGAAGACGCCGCCGCAGCCGCCGCCGCCGCCGCCGCCGGAGGTTTTCCCACAGCCCACTGGGGGCTGAGGGGTGGGCTGCTTTTTCTGGTGAGACATCTTGTCTAAGGAGGAACGGAGCCCTGGAAGGAGAGCAGAGAGCATCAGTGGACCAGCTTCAAGAGGATGCGGCGGCAGAGACAGCCGCATCCATGGAAACGTCCATCATCCTCTGAGCAGCACTGCCTCGGCCAGGCTTGATGCTCTTTCTGATCGGATTGGAAAGAGCACTCAGCTGGGACTCCTGGATTAGTGCTTTTAGAAAAGGGTTGTGTTTCCCCTGCGAAAGTCTTTACCAAGTTTTAAATAGCCCACTTAGTGGTACCCATTTCTCTTTCTTTCCCAGCTTTGCTTCAGGCCTCTGCTTTGTGATCCCTGGGCAAATGACCCACACATTTTCTGTTTCCTCATTTCCTGTAAAATGAGATGGGTCGAGTATTTCACTTCTTAGTTCTCCGATCCCAACACTGAATGCAGATGGAAAATTACCACAAACCTCCACCTAGGGTAGGGGATTTTATCCACTCCTGGCACAATAGAGGGTGTTTTGTTCCAGTGCCAGAGGGCTGTTGCACCCCATTCTTTGCAAAAAAGAATTAGTTTAAACTCTTGGTCTGTTCCACTGACCTCAGCCATGATCACCTACCAGTTACCAGAAAAGGCAGGCTCCCCCCATTGTCCTGTCTGGAAACAGGAGAGAGGATCCCAATGATCCTTTGGACCAGCATCTCTGACGAGGAGATATCAAGCAAAGCTTGGTAAGGAGGCAAGCTGGGTTGAGGGGACCAAACTTGCAGGAATTATGTCCAGCATCTCACAAGTCATTTCCTTTTCAGAACATCTTGTGTAAAACAGGCAATGGGTTCTTATGACTGCTAAAATCTCCCCATCTGCAGCATCCTCTGAATCATTCTTCCTGTTCTCTGAAAGTACTCTCTACCTCTCCTCCTTACAAGTTCACAAAGTCCATCCAGCCTATCCACAGGCTGTCTGGGACAGTCTCTGCAGATTGCACTTCTATGGCAGAGACAGGGCATGTCTCTTACAGGGGTGCCAGAGAGACAGGAGATAGTCTTGTCTTTGTGGTATATACATTTTGGCCAGATCAGAAACACCATCTGTCCAGCAGTAGCTCAGCTCCGTTTCCTGCCTGAAGCCCCTCTGAATATGAATGCAGTTGGAAGAGCAGAGGTCCCGTAGGTCCCAAAGGGGAAAGAGGCCTTGCCCACCTGTCCCCTAGTCCACATAGCCCACGCAAGCCTGGGCAAGACCAACTTGGAAGATGAGAGCCAGTAGAACACACACTTACCCAAAGCACCAGGAAGGATGAGTGAGGAGAGGAGATGCTGGCTGTGTGAGGACAACTGGAGCTTCTGAGGTTTTATACTTTCTGATGAGTTCTGATTCATCAGCCATTGATCTGGACCAGCCTTTCATGTTTGGACTCAGTTACGTGACCTTTGTCTGTCACCCCACCTCCCTGTGATTATAGTCATGGGGTGACCCATTCATGAAGATTTTGGCATTCTTGAGATGGGCAGCCTCCTGTATGACTGGCTCCTTCTCTGATGCAACTGTGAAGTAGGCTGGCTAGCAGGGATGGTCAGCCAGAGTGGATGTTAGACATTGTTTTCAAAATTTCTGGCATGGGGCCCATGCCATCACCAGAGGGCTGTGCTTCAGGAATAGGTCTCAGACTCTTCAAGCAACCTAAGAGAGTCCCACTGGAGTTCTCAGTCTTTGGTCCAAGAAGTAGAAACTTCCATATCCCACTCTTTGGCTCCTGGTCCTATTGCTTGGAACCTCTTAGAATTTTAGAGAGATCTGTTGGAGAAAAGCATGTTTCTTCTTTGCCAAGTTTCTCCCCCGGGGTTTCACATGTGCTTCACTGGGATGTTCCTGTCTTTTTTTCCTGTCTAGAGAGAGTGTGTTAGCACCTAGCACCCAGTTCTGGGTTGCACAACATGGACAGCGCCATAAGTAGTGGGGCACTGGTAGCAATTTTGATTTACTCCTAAAGACAATGAATGTCTAAAAATACTGATCTTCACTATTGACTTTCCTTGTAGAAGAATAAGCTAAAGAAATAGGCCCTGTGGTTCTTCCCACCATGGCCATTCAGCTCTGGGGTCTTGCATTGTGTGGTAACACTGACCTCAGTCTAAGAGGCAGCCGTGGAATGGAATGGGCTTGAGATTAGGTGCCTGGATTTGGGTGCTGCCTCTGCTCCTTGCCAGGTGTATCACCTTGGGTGAAGTCACAGTACCTTATGCAGTGCCTACACACTGGAGGCGCTTAGTAAGCATTTGTTGATTATTGAACAAACTTTCTGATGTCTATCAAATAAGAATGGTAGTAGTTGTTTTACTGAGGCTGCGAGGGAGTCCACAGATGGCTTGAGGCAAGCTCTTATCTAGGAAAATAACTTGGAAATTCCTGGCTGACCCTGGACCAGTAGCATCAACTCTGTGTATGAGGAACAGCATTTTGTCCTCTTCTTTCATCATTGGAACTCAACTGCTGTTGTTTTAGATACCACATTTGAAGTTAGTTCCACCCAGATGTGTGTTGAAATGAGAGCTCCAATAATAAATTGATGGTTAATTATGGTGGAGTTTTAATGATCTGCATGATCTGATTAGACTGTGGCCTTCAGAAACTTGTGGCACTAGTTTTAGTTTGGAGAGCATGAACCCAGGTGAACCCAGGAGGAGCCCAGGTGCTCCCCTCCTGAGAGAATGGCCAGGAGGGAGAAGTCCAGATCTGTTGGAGAAAGCATGTTTCAACTTGAAGCTGAGGCATCATGGAGATTTTAGAGGGGGAAAAAGGCTCCAACTAGCTGTGGGTATAATAAAGACGCATAATAAAGGACAGCTTTATTTTGCTGGGTTCGCTGGAGAAGAGGAGAAGATGTGGACCATGGTTCCCATACTGATCTGTGGACCCATGTTGGCTCATTATTGTGTGTACCCTAGTCCTTAGGAAAATGTAAGTAAAAAGATGTCAGCAGACTCTTTGTGAGAAGGAAAGTCTAATTCAGAAATCATGAGCCTCCTACCTTTTTTGGGCGTATATTAAGACTTCATTTCTTTTAAAAGTGATGTTGACAAGAGGTCCAAGTTGTTTCTTTCACGTCCTTATTTGTCAAAATGAGAGTTTGGCTATCATATTATTTGGTTATCACAGTTTTTTTGAGGGAGATGTTACTTCTTTATGAAATTCTAAAGTTTGGGAACCTCAAGTGCAGGTGACTTGAAATTGCCTGTATTAGTTTGGAGCAATTATATTCTTATAGGAAAGATACGATATTTTCTTTCTATCAGATTTAATATCCTAATGCTTTATTCATTAATTCAGACAACTGTTTTGCCAAAAGCTTCAACTTTTGTTTCAGGTTTGAAAGATTTGTTAACAAAAGAAACTACTTGTTAAACAAAAATAAACAATTTCAGTATTTAATAGAGAATTATCTAACTTACTTTCAATATGCAATCATTAAAAGAAAAAAAAAAGAAACACTAGAGGAATGTAATAGCACATACATCACCTAACTGGGACCAAATAGCACCCAGATTCAAACAGCACTGGGAAGTCCCATGTAACAGCAATCTGGAGTCTCAGTTGGAAAAAGATACTGGATGGTGCATCCACTCTAAAGGGTGAGACTTCAAAATTGCAATTTTTGGGGTCCTGCATATAATTTCAGGCCACAAACTGATACTGTCATCAGTTTGTGAACAAATTGCAGCTCTGGTTTCACATTAATCTTTTTTTTTTTTTACAATACTGTTTGTTTTATCTTGTGAGTCAGAGGATTTTGTTAAGCCCCGGGCGTGGTTGGCCAGACCTCCTCCAGGGGCTCAAGAATTCTAAGACCTGCTCTCTGTCTTTTCTATGTTGCCGCTGGTTTTACTAGAAAAAATCAGTACACTCATGAGCAGACATGTAGTCAGGGCAAGGTCAGAAGCAAGGTCAGAGTTCTTGTCTCTGAAGCCTGAACAAGACTACTTCCATTTAATTTTTCTAATACCAACACCAGTGTACTGGGCAGTGTGCTAAGGATTACAGAGGAGTTTTTTATAGTGCATGGATCCCCTTGGTAGATTTGGGGGAGGGGTACTCTATGCCTGCCGCTGCTACTCTGTGTGACTTTTAATAAGGAAAATCTTCTAACTGATATATCTACTTTGTTAACATGTGGAAGAGGCTGATGCACCATGGTATTGACAGCTGTGCTTGATCTTGTGGCTCTGAGTTAACCTTGCCTCAAGTATGAGCTATGAACCTGATTCTCTATTTTATCCCTTTCAACCAGAAGTAGGGGGATATCTGTGTGGAAGTGGTTGATGATTACATATTATTATTATCAATGAGGAAATGATGAAAGTTTGTAGAATTATGACACTTAAGTATTTGGAGTTTTGCAAATCTTGGCATGTCAGATTTCTAAAATTTGTAGCTTTTAGACACTTATATCTGCATATGTGCTTGCTAGTACATCTGGGTTCTGTAGCCTCACAAATAAAGTCATGTTTCCTGCCTTTAACTGTATCCTTAGAGGGGATGGCCCTTACAGCAAATCTTTCATAATTAGCAGGTGCTCAGTAAATACTGATGGTAAACTGAAGGTAATTATTTAGATCCATTGACTGACAACCCTGTAGGAGGCAGGACCTGGTCCCTGTCCCCTGGCAATCCCAGTGTGAGGGGAGATCATGGCTCTTGAGCTGAGGAACCCCCAATCTGATAGAAGCCTGCTCATCACAATCTTTAAGTACCTAAATCTTCATATTTGCATTCTCATGAAAGAGTGTTGACAACCTACCTGAGGAAAAAAGGGCAATGGATGGCTTGTAAAGAATAAAATGGACACAGGGCAGGGGTTCAGGAGCACTGGCAGGTCAGGCATAGACCTTGCAAGCCCTTGGTGTTGTTTATATTTAATGGGAAAAGTTTTCTCTTAGTCACAGACCAAGAGGCGTCTCAGAGCCCCAGACACCCCGCTGGGTTGCCATTTGTCTCCTCTCTCCAGCCCTCCTGGTCAGCAGTTTCTGTTACTT